TCTACACCAGTAACTACATTGTCACCACCTACTCTTCACTAAATTCTTCTTAAATCAGAAGCTAAACAACGGCTTTATTAGTTAAAATGGAATCGTAATCAGGGTGGGCAGGAATTGAACATTGATTTTATTGATTTTATTTGTGGTTTTGGTAATTAGCTTAAATCTTGAATTGTGATTTTAGCATCATTGCGGTAAAGGTTCTCTTTTTTTTTCTAAAATTGGGGTTGGACCGCGTATACTTGCATGTGCATTTGGACCCAACAGCGGATTTGTTCGGATTTTTTCAATAAAGTCCTCATAACATAAAACATAGAATTTGTGCTCTAAATATTTCTTTAGTCTTAGTAAGACACAACTATATAAGGTGTTTTCCAAGAAAATAACATAAAATATGAGATGAGTCATAACATTGTACTAAAATATTAAAGATAATAGAACCACATAAAATAAATATTGCTACTTAATAAGCCATAATAAAAATGAGCATAATGTAAAAGTACTAAGTCATGCTAAAATAAGTGCGACTAATAAGTACTATTAATTACATGACTAAATACTAAAGAAAAAATAAAAATAAGTTATGTATTTTATCTAAACCATGAAAAAACAAAAAAATAGATGTCCAACACTCTTTTGTTAGCATTAGTGTTGATTTGATTTTGGTTTGAGGTTTGTTTGAGTTACTAACATTTATTGGAAATAAAACTTGTTGGAACAATAAAAATTATAAGTCCAAGCTTGAAATAATACGCTAAAAGATAAAACTATGAAAAAGTTTAAGAAATATTTATAAATTACACTACAATACGTAAAATAATATTTTTATGTATTAAATATATTTAAAACTTCTATACATATAATGTCGGGTTGGTTTGGCTTGTTTGACTTTTTTTTTGTTAAAACCAAACCAAACCAATTATGGTCGGATTTATTTCCCGACACCAAACCAAATCAAACCGAACCATAGTCGGATTTTTTGCTCGAGTTTGACTCGGATTATCGGTTTGGTGCGTTTGTTGGTTTCCTTTGTACACCCCTAATGCTGACAGTGTTACACCACACTTTCCGACTTCTAATTATAAAAAAATTATTTAGGGTCAACTGATTTCCTATTAAAAAATTATAACCAACACCACATTCATCTGTATGGATCCTACTTTTACTATATTAGAACGAATTAAAACGTATCCTCAACACCGTTTTTTTTAAATTCAAGCATTTTCTTGTCCGTCAATTGCCGCTATCAATCAATATCAAGGAATAGCCGTGCCGCAAACCAGGGAGGGAGACATTTTAAGATTTTAATAATGGAATAACGGAGGAGGGGTTTCTTGGCGTATAAAAGATGGAAAAATCTTATCTATATGGTTGCTTATATACATTATGTGACGTTAAATGAGATAGTATTGCCAACTAATAGATAGAACCTAAAAAAACTTTCTTATCCATTTCATTCCCTATCCTCAAGTAATATTATTGGTCCCACACCACTACATATATATGTACATGCATCAAACTGAGGAAATGCTCCCAACTCTCACGCCACCATAATATTTCCCCGTTAGGTACGCAAGTTGTCAATCAGCCTCTGGTTTACTGAAATGGACTTCTCATTCCCATTATGATATACATTGTCAATCAGGATAATACTTAGACCCTGGGCCCTTATTCCCTACTTGCAAATCCATCCCTAACTATCCACTTACAAAGACAAATTGAATGGAAGGAAAACGGCTAAAAACACCTCTAGCCTATTGAATTGGCTTATATATTTCCATTATTAACCTATCTGCTTATAAAAGTTTTCATCATTATATTTTATCTCAAAATAAAGTACGCTACTATATATGGGGTAATTGTAAGGGATACAATAGATATGTCATAGATCCAATCTCATATTTGATAATTTGAACATATTTTTGTGAATGTTATTTAATATAAAAATATATGGCATTTGATATTCTTTTATCATGGTTTTTATTAATTGCTTGATTAATTTAATAAGGTCCTTGATTGAAATTTGAAACTTGTCATTGTGATGGAGATCATGATAATGAGAGTGAAGTTTCTTATAATTTAATCTAAATTTATTCTTAATTATAGGATTATTAATTTGGACATTAGTATTCCGGTTAGATCAATATCTATGTGATCGTCGTTATGAGATAAAGATTAATTGATCTCAATAACTAAATCACATATATAGATGGTGCATATAGAGATATGATCATAGAACCGACTCATTGGATAATTCTTAATGGTTAGAATTACCATAAACTGTCAATATGATATTCCTTGAAGAATGTGATGTAAGAGTTTCTTTCAACCTGAGATCATCATAGTAATTGACAAGTTATTTATTGTGCTTTGATACTAGACACCTATGGCCCTAGAAAAATAATTGAAAAGGATATTGGGTACGATTAAATACTTGTAGAATTACTGACTGATCAAAGATGGAATCTATCAACTTTTGGTAATGAGTTTAAGCTCCATATTGTCATGAATTATAAACGACCAAACTAAGATTTTGGCCATGGGCAATTAAATGAAAGAAGAAAAGAGTTTCTTAGGTCATTCAATAGTCGATTATATTTGACATGTACACATAGCTGGTCACCTATTAGGATTTGACAGTTGAATCATATCGTAGGGTGACTCGGAACTATAAGGACATAAGAAAATATTCTTCTACGGGTTCTTGAGAGTAAAATGTATATTTTATGTTATCCGGTCGTTAAGGAGTGTTGCTACACGCCACCCGTGATTAGTATATTGATCTAATAAATTTACTACCGGCTTAGTATTGAACCTATGTGGTGGCACACTAACGAGTGTTCTGATCTTTGCTAAAGGATAAATTATTTTATTGTTTGATAATTGAATTAATGAATTTAGTTAGTCAAATAAATTAAATTATTAGTCCAAATAAAATATTATTATATTATTTACTAGCACAGAGGATATAATTAATATTATGAACAAATTTATATTTTCTATTTGGAATAAAAAAATTAAATCATATCTCTTTGTTGAAATATATATATGATATATATAAATAATTAATGCTTATTTTGTATAAGAGATATTATATAAAGTATTAATAAAAGGTTGGTTTGGACTTATTAGTGAAATCCAATTAAGAATTGGATCCACATATAAAGTCCACAAAAGGAACTTAGTCGGCAATGATTTCCCGTTTTGGAATGGGATACCATCTTCAATGGAATTCTTTTTTTAAAGTTCAATTTTGAATTGGAAAGAAAAAAAAAACAACGCTTCTAATTTTCTCCTTAATCTAGTGGAAAGGTATTGTTGACTTACGTGATATATAAAGCATCAACGAAGCATCAACGAAGCAACGGTGAAAAAAACACATAAAGAGTTCGACAGAGCCGCATAAAACAAGAGAGCGATATTCTTGACAAAGAGAACTTTTCTTTGTCCTGTTAATTCTATGTTGACAATTTTGAGAAAAATATCAGCATAAATTTTATATTCAATTTGTTAACGGGTTTCAATGAATCGAGACTCACTTCATTTTATGATCCAATTTTCACCATAAGCCGTGATGGCGCATAATGCCGCCGTTAGAAAAGCTAACGATCAACCATCAACTTAATAATCCATTTTTATACTTTTAAAATTATGTGTGTCACCAAGTAATTGAAATTAAGTGAAGAAAACATAGAAACATACTTATATTCATACTAAGCCATAAAGTATATATGAAACATAAAACTAAATGGCGACAATATTAGGAAAAAATCATAAACATCTACTAGAAATTTCTAAAATTCAGTGTCACAAGTGCACGAGCAATCTAGTAGAATATAAAAACCACTATAATTACTGTCTCAAATAAAAGAGACAAATAGTAAATACAACAAGAAGGAGACTCCGGGTGCGGCAGATTCGAGCATGGAGAGCAGCTCATCACTAAGTCTCCGGATAATGCGTATGCGCCCCCGAATGGCTGATTTCGTCGAAGCCCTTTTGATTACTTGCCGAGGGTAGCCTTTTTTTAACCGATTTTTCAAAGAATTCGAAAGCCTATTTTTATTGCGGGATTCGGACATCTCCGAGCTGCCTTAATTTTGCTATAGCCTTTGGATATGCCTCTTGGGCTTATTTCCCAATAACACTTCGAACTTGTTCGAAGTGTTAGTCCCCGAGAGTGATGTCCTTGGCCTATAGATCGAGGGGTGCCTCTTTGAGTTCTTATGAATTTGAGTTTAGATTACTCGAATATGTCGATTGTCGACGGCAGTCTCCGAGTGTACGAGGTTTATTTGCACTTGGCCCTTGAGCCATTTCTCACAAAATAATAAGTATGGAGCTTGTATAGTAGAAAATTTTCTTTGAGACACAAGATGTTTGATATAGAAAGAATGCTTCTTTGTATAATTTATACATGCGTACGTGTTTTGCCATCGGGGCTCGACTAATCTATACGGACACGGTTCATTCGACCGTTTGCCCCATTACAAAGTTTCTCTATCGAGACCCTTTGACACGAAGTATTTTCCTCGAAAGTGTAACATCCGAGGGTAATGCCCCCAGTATTCGAGGTTGATTGTAAAGAAGCCTTGGATATTGTTTAATTGTCCCCAGGTAGCACATAATTGTTGCCTCGTTAAAAATCTCGCCGGAAAAATCCACCTGGGACAAAAACCGATCTAAGGAAAAAAGAGTGCAACGCGTGCTTTAAAACCTGAGGTCTCGATGTCTTCGATCGAACACCTGCAGTGAGGTAGTGTTGAATATATAAATGAAAAAAGGAAATAAAGTCATACCTTAGCAATAATACCGTCTGAGAAGCGATATGTTCCAATTATTTGGCAGTTGTACGCCATCCATCGTGCCGAGCTTATAAGATCCCTTTCCGACGATGTCGAGGACTTGGTATGGTCCCTCCCAATTTGGGCCGAGCTTCCCTTCATTAGGATCTCGAATGTTGATGGTGACTTTCCTCAGGACTAAGTCCCCGACTCTGAATGATAAATTCCATGCCCGCTTGAGAAATACTCGAATCCGATTTAATACTTGATAATCTAACCGCAACAGACAACTTAGAATGCATTGAACCTTCATACAATGGACGACTAGCTTCCTGTAACTGTTCATAAAAGCGCTTAGCATCATCATTTGGTTCAGACTAAGCCCCCGGGTGCATCACAAAAGCATCTCTAACCATTTTATTGGATCGATAGTTTTTAACATTATTCTCCGCTAATGGACTACCCTCACTACCAAATTATTTTTGAAAATCGACATCACACACTAGCAACATCCTCTCCATGAATAGTCCACACGTAATAATTTTTCATAAATCCTTTTTTATAAAGATGAATTTTAACAACATCTGGTTGTAATAACTTTTCACCCTTGCATTTGACACAAGGACACCTAATCATCTCTTCACTGAAAAATTCATGAATTGTTTTCGCTTTAGCCATAAATTCAGTAACTCCTATAAATTCCTTCCTCAACCCACTACGATTAGGATAAGTCCGATTATACATCCATCTACGATATGCAAGCTCCATCTACACAAATAAATCCAAGATATTTAAAACAATATATATTACTTAGTATTATGCCAAACAATTTACTTATAAAAAAAAATTGGTTCTTTCAACGACAAAAATATATTTTGTGGCCATCCTATAATATTCAAGACTTCAAGAACCATTATGTGCTTTATATCAACAGTATGTGCTCTATGCAAATGAACTATCAAAAACCTTGAAAGAGTATGTCATATTTACTTTGCTTTAACAACCAACAGCAACAAGTGACATAGATCATGACTTAAGATATATATTTGTGGAGAAAAATTATTAACACCCATCAAAGAGTCATTGTTTTCCTATTTAGTTGTATATGGTTGGAAGAATTCTTTTCCTGTGGGAGCTAGCCAGACCTATTTAAATCAAGTTTAAATCAACAACTCTACCATCCAAGTTGCAAGATTATTTAATGCATCGCTCTTCCAATTCAAATCAAAACCAACTCACAAACAGATTGTATAGTCCAAACAGCTTTTCAAATCAAATTTATTCTCTAAGCCATATCATATTATTACTTGGTTACTGATTTAGTGCTATTCTCAGGTGAAATTATGGATCGAAAAGAAAACTCAACAATCAAACCAATTGAAGCGGATTATAGACAGAGAACAAACAAGTAGCATTCATGTCATCAAAAATCAATCGCAAGATACACAGAGGAACTTTAAAGAGAGTAAGGTGAGAGAGACCTCAATAGCTTTTCAATGTGTTAGGAAGAATTGGTTTCACCGAACACTCTCTGAACGGAAAAGGTTGAAACAGCGACCATACTAGAGCAGGAACCACGAACCTCGACTTCGAATCGGCACTCGAAACCACTACGTCTCCGCAATACCCCAATCTCTGTTTCAATCTTCTTCTTCTTGAGATGAGAGTAAATAAAAAAACTGAATTTTTTTATGCTTTTCCTTTTCAAACTGAAATTTCGAAATTGAAGGCTAAACTAGAATCAGAAGTTAAAATATTTTTTGTGTTTGCACCACAAAAAGTCGATTGGTCCTATGAATAAAGTTCATATATGGAATCTATACATGAAAAACACGCATATAAGCTTTCAATCAGTAACAAGTTAAAAATAATGTGACCAACAAACAAAACTAATTACTTCTTTTCTTTTCTTACTGTTAGATTTCAGCCGTTTGCCTCTGTCAGCCTTTTGCCTCCTTCAGTCGTTTGCCTCTGTCAGCGGCAAAGATGGAGTGGAAGAGAAATTGAAGAACAATCTGCCTCACAGGTGAAATGGAAGAGAAATCAAAGAAGAAAAAAGATATCGAAAGAGAGAGGAGGGAAATTGGGGAAATAGGGCGCCCAGAAATTGAAATAGGTTTTTGGCATGAAATATTAAATTTAAATTTTTGACTACCGTGGTCGCAAACCCACATAAATATTATTTTGTCATTTTAATTTTAACTTTGTTTTACCATTTTAATTTTAACTTTGTGACCGACGCAATCGCTTTGTTGGTCAACTAATATTTTTGACTTTTTATTATCCGACCGAATCGGTCGCAAAAGTGAAGGCGGGAATTTAGCGCGCTATTTTCCCACTACTTTTGTCGGAATAATAGTCGAATTTCTTTTTTTTTTTGTTAAGTAATAAAAATTCACTCTATTTCTGACTACAACAGTCGCAAAAGTAGTCCCATTAGCGACTGCTTCATTTTCAGTCAGAAATTTCAGTCACAAATTAATATTTTTCTAGTAGTGACCCTTTTAGATCAATCTAGTCAAATGAGCTGCAATAGATGAGAAGCTCTCCACAAACTGACGATAATAACATGCTAGCCCCAAGAAACTCCTGATCTCAATCGCTGTGGTGGGACAAGGACAACTCTGAAGTGCCTCGACCTTTTTGGGATCCACCTTAATAACCTCGCCTGATACAACAAGCCCCAAGAAAGCCACATAATCTAACCAGAACTCGCACTTGGAGAACTTAGCACATAGCTAACATCCCTTTTGCTGGGGGCGCTGCATCTTTCAATAGATGCAGGTGGTTCCACAACAAAAGATATTGGTTAGTGATAGCAGTGCACCTTCTTCCCAGCTGATTTGGTGAGCCCCATTTTATTCCGGGGTCATGAATCTTTTGTACTTTGTGTATTCTGTTTGAGGTATAACCGGGGCCTTGTTGACGGCAGTATCATTGTACTCTTCTTTATCTATAGAGGCTCCGTATACATAATATGGGTTGTGTATTGGTGCTAGGGAAAGACAAACTATGTTATGTTGTGGACGTATTACTTGTCCATTTGAGACTTTAAAAATGATAAAACTATTGGAAATGAATTGGTATTGTAGACATGAACACATTTTCGTCTAATTAATGATAATATGTATTATCCCTATTCATGGATGAGTTTGGGTAGAATGAAATCTAACATGCTTGCTCAGTTGGGTTTACTCGGTTGAGCGTCGGTTGCGCTCCTCGGTTTTGGGGCATGACATAAACTCTCAAACTTGGTTGCGGATACTCTCGATCCTCTGAGCTATCTCCACAACCTGATCATAAGAAGTGCCCATCTCAGCCACTCGGCCATATAAACCTAGATACATAGTGTAATCCCCCAATAAACCTCCGCACTATCACCACATCTTTGGGGAGTGTCATAACTACATGACGAGACAACTCGGATAATCTCGCCTCATAGTCAGTCACCGACATTTGAACCTGCTAGAACCGCTTGAACTGACCTCGTAACTCTTCCCTCTGCGAGGGTGGAACATACCTCTCCAAAAAGAGATGTCTGAACTGGTCCCAAGTTAAGGGAGGTGAACCTTCTGGCCTACTCTAGAGATTAGACTACCACCATCTACAGGCCTTCCCCTCTAGTTGAAATGTGGTAAAGTCCACTTCATTGGACTCCACTATCCCCATATTATGCAGCTTCTCCCTTCAAGGGTCAATGAAATCATGTGGGTACTCTAATAGCTCACCACTAAAGACAGGAGGACGAAGCCTAGTCAATCTATCCAACTGCTTTGACCCCTCAACGGTCACAACCGGTCTGGTCTTTGGTCTAACTTCTACAACCAGCTGAGCCCCGCCAACAAGTAGTGCACTTGGGGTCTGATTAATGGAAGTAGCGTGCCCTAGAGCATGAGCGATAGGGGTCTGTGCTCCCCCTCCCGCCTGAGATGTGGTTGGATCTATTGGAAATAGCCCATCCTGGGTCATAAAATCCATGATCCGCAACATACGACCCATGACCTCCTGAAATCCCGGTGCAGTCATAAAGTCTGTCGGGGCAAGCTCAACTGTAGGTGCCTCATCCTGTTCCTCGATAATAGGATCTTCCACCAGATCCACTGGTGGTATTACAGGAGCAACTCTAGGATGCCCTCGTCCTCTAGCAGGAGCCATGGCCCTCCCTCTGCCTCTGCCTCTACCTCTAACGACCGGGAGAGTAGCCCTTCTGCTGCAGGGTACTGCCATCACACGCGTTCTCACTATCTATGAGAGAATAAGAGAAAGGTACTTAGCACAACATCAACTGCATGATAGGAGATGAAGAAAGAGAAGTTTCCTAACCCCTATAGCCTCTCGAAGATAAGTACGAGCGTCTTTGTACCGATCCACAAGACTCTACTAGGTCTGCTCATGAATCATGAGACATATGTGAACATAGTGCACTAATACCAAGCTATCACGACCCAATTCCCATTATAGGCCGTGATAGCGTCCAACATCGCCATTCGGCAAGCCAACAGTGAACCATCAACTTAAATATCCATTTTTATACTTTTAAAATCATTTGTGTCATAAAACTTAGCCACCTTAGGTCACTACTATGGAACTAAGTGTTCTGAATTCAACCCCGAACCCTTTAAAAACTATCCCCGCAAGTCATAAAATACTAAAGCACAAACAAGAAGTCTTAAATAGGGGAACAAGGATCTAGAAAGTAAAATAACCGGTCGGGTAGTTACACTTCACCAGGTACGTCTTACATCTGATTTTTGACTTGTAAATAATTTTTAAACACAAAAAGATCTGCCTAGGATTGTTATTGTCTTCCTCTGCGAGTTAAGAACACCTATATGCAATCCTTCAGTGGTATCAGAGCCATGATTTCTCGTGTCTAAACTTTATTTATGAGATATGTTAAGATTATATTTGAAGAGTTCAAACAATAATACTTGTGTTCTGTGCAATAATCAAAATGTTTGAATGCATATGGATTGATATTATTTTATTGTGAATAAATTATGTATTCATATTATCACGACCCAAAATTCATAATAGATCGTGCTGGCGTCCAACGATACTGCCAGGCAGGCCCGCACGTGAACCTCCACTTAATTATCCATTTTTAACTTTAAAAAAATAGGGATTTCATTAAATAAAAAGAATTAAATTTAGCACTCGTGGAAACATATGCTTCGCTTTACCAAATTAACGAGTATGAATAAATCATAATGCGAAACCATAATAATAATAATATTAAGTACCACTGTAAGCATCTACTAGTAACCCTTAAAACCCGGTGTCACAAGTGCATGAGCATCTACTAGCGAGTACAATACTAAGACAACATCTGTCTGAGATATAAATAGACAGAATAAAATAAATGAATATGATGGAGACTCCATGTACTACGGATTGTAACGTAGAATGTAGCTCACCATAAAGTCCCCTCAGTAGTTGCGCCATATGCGCCAAGATGACCACCAAATGAACATATCTCAATACTTGGACAATTAGTGCAAAAGTGTAGCATGAGTACGTAAATCAACACGTACCCAATAAGTATATAGTCTAACCCCAAAGAAGTAGTAATGAGGGGTCGACATCGACACTTACTAGTAGTCCAATAAATAAGGTATAATTAAAGTAGACAAGTATGGACCATGTCAAGTAAAGCAGTGAAGACATATATATGTACATAAAAACGATCTTCAACTGATGAATAAACACAAAATTCTCTAGTATCGAATATTACCGCGAATGGAATGTGTGTCAGGTCAATAACAACTAAAATATCACGTCTCAAGTCAGATAAAATCAAGGATAAGCTGAATCCTTATCAAATATTATGCACGACTCTGGTAACGCAAACAGTCCGATCCCGTAGGAGTAATGGCACAATTTCCTACTATGGCGTACGACCTGATCCCAGCTGAGGCATTCAGCTCAATCTCATAATCGTGTACAGTACCGAGGGTTGACTGGCACGAACCATAGATGCATCATATAATACTGTTGAGGCAAACGACCCAATCCCATAATGATACTGCTGAGGCGATCAACCCGATCCCATAGGAATAGTGAAGATGTGACAGAGTCACTATCCCCAATCACGAATATATGTGTGAGTTGTGAAATTCAAAAAACTTTTGGACGAATACGTACAACACCGGAGAAATCCGTAAAAGGAAGTCTAATCTCTGCTGCTAACCACGTAGCTCGCCAAATATCTAAAATTGCAAGTCCGGTAATTTACGCAAGTATTGTAATGACCCGACCGGTCATTTTGAGATCTAGCACGTTGTTTGGCAGTTTTAGGCCTCGAGTAGCTTCATTTCAGGTATTATGACTTGTAAGTGCTATCAGAATTGAATTTCGAGAAGTTTAGAGTTGATTTGGAAAGAAATTCTAAATTCGGAAGCTTTAAGCTGGAAGAGTTGACTAAGGTTTGAGTTTTGAATAAACGATCTCGGAATTAGGATTTGAAGGTTTCAATAGGTTCGTATGATGATTCAGGACTTGGACGTATGTTCAGATTAAGTATCGGGTCGCCCGGGAGCATTTCAGCGCTTATTGTGGAAAGTTCGCCTTTTGAAGGTTTTAGAATTTCCTAAGTTTGGTTTGAGGTGGACTTTGGTATTATCGATGTCCGTTGGGGGTTCCGAGCCTTGGAATAGGTTCGTATCATGATTTGTGACTTGTGCGTAAAATTTGGCGTGATTTTGGAATGTTTAAATTTGAATCGGACGCGTTCGTCGAAGTTTGAACGTTTGGAAGTTTAAAGAAAGGTTTCGATCATCGATCCATAGTTTTGATTTTTTTTTGGTGTGATTTGAGGCTTCGAGCAGGTTCGTGTTATGTTTTGGGACTGGTTTGTGTAATTGGATGGGGTCCCGGGGGCCTCGGGTGTGTTTCAGATGTGTTTAGGTTATGTCGCGCTCTTATTTGATGTTTCAACGTCATTTTCTTGGGTATAAAGGATACTATATTGAGAAAAAAACCTTTTATTTGTGATTGGATTGAACCAATAGATCCGTATCGTAATTATGGAGCCATAGTATCAAGAATCGTCGAATTCTGATGTCGTATGAGAAGGTTATAGCCATTTCCGTGTCGGACAAAATTGCTGGTTTCTGATGCGAGACTTTGTTCTTCGTGAACGCGAGAGAGGTTCCGCGAATGCGAAGAAGGAATTCTGGG